TGTTTTTAAAACCGATCAGACAGGGAACTATGTTTTGGACCAATTCTCGGGTCAAACGATTCGATCGTCCAATTTGAATGGATGTCCCATTTTGACATAAAAAACAAAAATAAAATAAAAAAATAAAAAGGCCAAAACCATTTCTAGGTCGATAGTTCGACAGCCTAGGTTAGTAGGTCGCTGACCAAATCAAGGGTTTTGGTCAAAAAGTGGTTTTAGGGTGAAAGGGAACCGGTTTCCAATTTTTTTCGGTCTAGTCTGGTTTTCAAAACCATGCGGTAAACTTTAACATAATCCTAATCTAACTGTCAAAATAAAAAGTTACATTATACTTTATATTTTACCAGTTTGACCCACTCAAATTGGACAGTTGAATCGTTGACCTAGAAACCATAAGCTAAAGTGTTCCACAATCTTATTCACATTTTTAATAGTAGTGTAAATATAGAATTATAGATGCATTCAATTTTTTCTATATTTTTTTTTTGTATTTTCTATGTACAAATAATTTTGATATGTTACACTTACAATTTGTTTAGTATGATAAATATATGATAATGTACATGTGCCTGAATGCTTTTTTTTTTGCAAAATTTATGTATTTTTTTCATTTTGTATTTTTTAGATTTTATTAATTTTTATTATTTATTTATGGCATTAAAGGTTAACACATTTAACCCAAAAGTTGAATTATTTATTATTAATTTTTATATTTCATTTTTTGTCAGTTCTAAATTATGGTTTCATTTTCAATATCAATAAAAATAATTCTTGTTTAGTACACTTTTTTTTAATTTGATTAAAAAATATCATAAAATGTGTCTAATTTTTTCTACATTTTTATAATTTTTTTATATTTATTTCTATTTTGAAAATTTTATTACCTAACTATGACTTCATAGGTTGATCAATTTGATTCGGATGGTTGAATTTGTTAGCCACCACTTGGATAAAGAATTGTTTTGTTTTTGAGTGATTTTCAAAATATATGGGTTTATATTGTTGAAAAATATTGACATAGATCTAATTAGTAGCATTTATTAGTAAAAATAACATAAAAATATAGAACTTAATAAGAGAAAATGGGATTTAATACCTTAAGTGTGAGACTTAATGATAGGGGATTAAATGAGGTGGAAAGTAATAATTGAAGTTATATTTTCAACCCATATTTAGAGACAAATTAAATACACAAATATAACCATTTTAGTAGTCATTAAACTTGGCATTAAAGCTATAATAAAATGACTTTTATACCCTTTCTCAAATAGGGAAATAGAGGGTAATTTTAGTCCAAAAAATTTACACACTTCATTCACACTTTTATATATAACTAGTAAGTGTGCATGTACTTTGCACATGGCGATTCTAGATTATGATAATTATAGTAGTAATATATTAAAAGTTTTCTATAAATTTTATGTATTTTTATTTTTTATATTTTGTATTATTATTTAGATGCATATTTCAAAAATCAAATCTTATTACATAAACACCTCATCCAAATATATGATAATCATATCGAATTGTGAAGTTTCAAATATCATTGACATACCTACCCGCCTAGCTAAACTCTTCTTTTTGTAGTGTTTTATCATTTTGTTTTTTGTTTTTTCTTTTGTTCATTTGTCAAAAAAAATGTAAGATTTAAATAGAGGGAATGAGGCCAAAAATAGGATTTCAATTTACAATTTAAACCTTACAATTAAATAGGGACTAAATTCAAAAATGAGTATTTTACTCATTACTTTAAAAAAAATGGACCAGATTGAACGATCGAACCATTTTGGCTAGGGAACCAGTCAAGTCACCGATGTCGTTTTGGCCCTGAACCGCTATTTTACAAAAAGCTGTTGAAATGGTTAGAGAATTGTTGACCCGAACAGTTTAACCGTTAAAATGTTCTACCCGGTTAACGGTTCTCGTGTTGCTTTCAAACTAATTCCAATTTTTTATTTATTTTAAAATAGAATTTAGAAAATAAAGAAATGAAAAAAAAAAATTTCATATCTCACAATCTTGTTAAATTATTTATGATGACGAAAATTAGCAAAGGTTTTTAATTTTTCTATTTTGATTTTGAGTTTTCTCATTTCTATGATTATTTTAAAGTTGTAACAATAAAAAAAATGCAACTCCAATGAAGAAATCAAAAAATTGATGCAAGAGGTGGGAAATTAAACACCGATCTTATATTAAAATCCGAGATACACCAAATCACCAATGAAGCAAATGATCTGCGATTTGAGAGAGATTTAGAGAGATGTAAGAAGAGGGCAAACAGTGTTGTAGTAGCGATGATGATGAACATGGAGATAGCCACGACTTGACCCGCTCAAACTGGACGGTTGAATGCCTCAACCAGAAATCAAAAGCCAAAGTGGTTCCGTTTCTGGGTTAGTTTTTAAAACCTTGATTTTAGTCAAAAGAAATTTTGCACAATCTTATTCATATTTTTAATAGTAGTATAAATATAGAATTATAGATGTGTTCACATTTTTCTATAATCTTTTTTATATTTTTGTATGTAAAAATAATTCTAATATGTCACATTTACTTTTTGTTTAATACGATAAATACATGATATTATACATGTGCCTAAATGTTTTTTTTTGCAAAGTTTATGTATTTTTTCATTTTTGTATTTATTTTATTTTATTTTTATTATTTATTTATGACATTAAAGGTTAACACATTTGACCCAAAAGTTGAACTTTTTATTATTAATTTTTATATTTTATTTTTGATCAATTCTAAATTATGCATTTCATTTTTATTATGAATAAAAATAATTCTTGTTTATTACACTTATTTTAATTTTCTAATTTGATTAATAAAAATATCATACGTGTGTCTATTTTTTTACATTTTTTTGTAAATTTATATTTTAAAAATTTTATTATCTAACTATGACTTCATATGTTGATCAATTTGATTTGGATGGTTGAATTATTTAGTCACCACTTGGACAAAGAATGATTTTGTTTTTGAGTGAGTTTTAAAATATGGGTTTATATTGTTAAAAATATTGACATAAATCTAAGGGTAAATTACAAAGACCCTACTTTGTTTTGTGACAAAGACCCTCCTTGTACTATGTCCATGAGACAAAGACCCCCTTTCGTTAGACTTCTGTTAAAATCTGCCTTTGCAATATTTTTTAATCCCCATACCACCCTTGTAACACTGTTCATCTTCCCCGACCTCACGAATAGCAGCGACGGCAGACTTCGGAAGTCCTCCCTCTCTTTCGCGCATAGGAGAGAACGTTGATCTGAACGCCCTCAAATCCGTAGCTTCTATGTTGTCGAAACTAATTCTCCTTGATGATTTCTATAGGTTCTATGTTGTCGAAGTTCTCCTTGCATTGGAGTATCTACACATGCTTGGGGTTATATACCGAGATCTTAAACTAGAAAACATTCTGGTTCGAGAAGATGGTCATATCATGCTCTCAAATTTCGATTTGTCATTGAGATGTGCAGTGAATCCTACTCTTCTTACATCCTCGCCATCAATCATGGAGCCCATAAAAAACTTTTTAGGTCCATGTGCAGAATCCCCTTGTATAGATCCTTTCTGTCTCCAACCATCCTAGGTGCAGGTTTCATGCTTTTCATCGAGGCTGCTTGTGGCAGAGCCAACCACTGCCCAGTCCAACTCCTTTGTTTGGACCACTCACCTATGAGTACTTAGCTCCTGAGATCATCAAAGGAGCTAGAGGGTCATGGGAGTGTTGTGGATTGGTGGACATTTGGGATCTTTCTTTACGAGCTCTTATTTGGTAAAACACCCTTCAAGGGCTTGTGAAATTAGGAGACCTTAGCAAATGTGGTGATATAGAGCCTCAAGTTTCTTAAAAGCCCAATGGTCAGTTTTCAAGCAAAAGATCTGATCAGAGGACTGTTGGTAAAGGATCTAGAGAATCAGTTGGGGTTAGAGAGAGGGGTGGCAGAGATTAAGCAACATCCATTCTTTGAGGGCCTAAATTGGGCATTAATCCGGTTTGCCATCCCACCGGAGCTACCAAAGTTTTGTGATCTTGAAGTTCCATTTATGCTTTCCCAGGAGAGTAAACGTTTGGAGTTCAAGTCTACAGGAGGACATCTGGAGTTCGAACTGTTCTAGCATTGCATGCTGTGTACGATTCATTGCTTCTTGCATAAACACAATGAATAGATTTTGCCAGCCTCCACTCTCCAGCTTCTAAATGCACTGACATATACTTAGAGAACTGAGTTTTGGCTTGAACCGGTTAATACTCAATGGATATTTTTTTTGGGGCCTGCCGTCCTTACATCAATTTGTGTAATTCATGTTATCTCCTTTGTGCGAGTGCTCCGCCATGCCGTTCACGATTTCCGTGATTGCCCGGACTCACGCTTCATCATCGGGGGAGAGAGAGAGAGAGAGGGAGGTTCCGAAGTCTGCCGCTGCTGCAACAACTACCACCACTGCTGTTCCTGAGGTTGAGGAAGATGAACAATGTTACAAGGGTAGTATGGGGATTAAAAAATATTGTAGTGGCGGATTTTAACGGAAGGGGGTCTTTGTCTCATGGACATAGTACAAAGAGGGTCTTTGTCGCAAAATAAAGTACAGAGGGGTCTTTGTCACAAACCCCATAGTATAGGGGGGTCTTTGTAATTTACCCTAAATCTAATTAGTGCATTTATTAGTGAAAAATAATTTATAAATATAAGATTTTAATAAGAGAAAATGGGTTTTAATACCTTAAGTATAAGACTTAATAAATGAGGTAGAAAGTAATAATTGAAGTTACAATTTCAACCCCGTACATTTAGAGATGGATTAAATACACAAATATGACCATTATAATAGCCATTAAAGGTGGTATTAAAACTATATTAAATAACTTTTATACCCTTTCTTAAATAAAAAAAATTATAATTTTAATAAAAAAAATTCTACCCATCATTTACACTTTTATATATAGTATAAATAATAACAATAATATAGATTGTTTGCGCCTTTGGGTCTGCCGGTCGGAGACACGGGGGTCTGTTTTTGGTTCGTGGGGCTACACAGACCGTAGACCGTCCCGTAAACCTATAATCCGGTCCGGTCTCCAGACCCTGGTGAAGGCGATTCCAAGCATCTGCCACAACCAGCCAGAGACCTTACTAACGAGCCTGCCGGCACCTTCTCGGGGTCTACACACTACACCTATCTCCAAAGCGTGGAAGTGAAGCTAAGAACTCCTGATTGGCTTGCATCTCTCCACCGGTAAAGCCGGGTGTTCTTGTTTATTTGGCCCGTCAGCAAGAACAGCAGGGGTTGCGATGGCCGACCCTGTGTCGCAAGCGAGCAGCAGATGGAGGGACCTTGACAAACTCCTCTTGAGGCCCGGCAACCTTGTCGGTCCGAACTTCGACCCAGGCACCGAGGTGTGTAACCTATCGCTCAGTAGGTGTTCAACATTATCAGAACAATACGCATTTCCACAAACAGGTGGTGTTCATTTTTTGCATGAGAGAATGGACGGTTCTTTTGGGAATAAACTGGTATTTCTCTGTGTGTATGGTTTTGGGTTTTTTGGTTCACGTGGCAGTTAAGAGACGATCTTCAAGAATATGCGAAGGTCTTAGTTGTTGGCGCAGGCGGGCTGGGCTGCGAACTGCTTAAAGACTTGGCTTTGATGGGTTTTCGAAACCTTGAAGTCATAGACATGGACCGAATTGAGGTTTCCAACCTAAATCGTCAATTCCTATTCAGGTGTTTTTTCTTCACAGTTCAGTACCAAACTTGTTTAGAATTTTCTGTTGTTAGAATCAACTATTTTGTTCATTTTTTGGATAGTTATATACTTTTTTCCTTATTCAGATGTGAGCTCTGCAATACTAGTGCTGTAGTGTTGATAGAAAAAAACAGAACTACTGATAAAAAAAAAAAACAGAACTAATTTAGGTGTTCGCTGTTAAATGTTCTGAATAAAAACAAAACAGGGAATTGAGTCATTAATATATTGATCGGTAAGCCTTTATATTTCGCCATTGGTCAAGTGGGTAACGAGATCCCAAAGTAATGTGGAAATATTATAATAACTCAGTTAATTTTGCTCGCTGTCATGCCATATTAATGTATTAAGATATTGCTCATGCCTCTTGGCTGAAATGCTGCTCATAAGAATTATGACTGTATCCAGGATTGCATATGCAATGCTCTTCCCTCTGGCAAAACCCTTTGGTCAAACTTCAAGAGTTCAATGCCTCATCTGAATCTTCTATCATTGCATTAGATCTTTGAAAAATTAACTTCTCTGTATACTTCGTTTAGCTGTGCTTTCAGGTGTCAAGATTTTAGATGGTCTCCCCTCTGACCAAGTTTGTGATATTCTCTGTTTGTTTTGGTTGGTAATGTGTATACCAGAAATCTTGTGGAAGAAGAAATATAATTCTTCAAATCTATGAATAAGTTAGGAAAAAAGCTAACAATAGACTCTACTAACCCAAAAGAAGAAATCCAATAATCATGATCACCTGAATACAGTTGTGCACTCTCTCTCTCTCTCTCTCTCACACACACACACACACACACACAGGCATGCGCACTCTCTTTTTGATTGGCAGAAACACACACACACATTCTAATGACTTAATACAATTATTCTGTATCATCTCCAAAAAAGAAAAAGAAAAGAAATGATGATTAGTTCTCTATCCAAAAAGAATTAAAGTGAACAAAAAGAACTCGAATATGACAATGAGTTGTCTCTGCTTTTTATGAGGATCAAACTTCCGGTATTGGTTTCAAGTTTACCAAGTTGATGAGGCAAGAGGTTGAGCCACCCACTGGTAGCGGGGCTTAGAAAATAATATGTTTCTGCCATTGTTGGATTAATTTGTTTCTACAAACTAAAGCTTTTAAATAAATCACTTGATGGTGATGCAAATTTGGTACTTTTGAACCATCTAGTGCAACAAGATAAATCTCTTTAAATTTGTTTGTTTGATTCATTTTTTTATCTTGCAAATATTTTTTGCATTTACTTTATTCATTTTTGAGGCAATATAGTCAACATTAAAAGTGTGTTGGTGTGACCTAGCCATGATGTTATTGGTGAAATGTTAGCAAAATGTGCCTTAGTACTTTCCTGACTGAAAGTAGGATGTGGACATGGTGCTTATATCACTAAAATCTCAATCTATTTTTCTTTTCATTTCTTTATTTTTTATATGATGATAGATATGGAATTCACAGTTCAAGTGAAAATTGTTATTATATCATTTGGTGATATATTGGATTATCAGAGTTCAAGAACACATTTAAGTTGTATCTATTATCTTTGAATTGAGTAGTTGGCCGTATTGAATTACCAGATATGTAGCCACTACAATGTTTGTTAGTTTTAACAATGCTCTCATGTTTCTTACATTCCCAAGCCCCAACCATGTATTGGGGTTCTGTTTGTAATGTTATTGTGATGTTTGAATCGTTTTAGAAAGTGCTGATTGATTTGTTTTCTCCCCTTATTTTTGAATTGCTGAACTTGTTCAAATAAAAAAAAAAAACTCTTCCAGCGGAAGTAAGCAATATTAATAAGAATTTCCTGATCTAGTCTTCCCATATTCTATTTTTACTCCAAAATTGCAGCATCTGTAGGAGACATTGGAAAGAAAAAGTTGACTTTCTGTGGAATTGACTCAATTGAGCTGAGGATGATTGGTTGAGATTCCAAGGTTAGATTACTTAGGGTAATGACCTGGGCACTTCTTCTTAAATGGCTTTGGAATTTGGTAGGAGAATGGGAAATTATGAAGGATTGGTCATTCAAGAAAAATATGGGACTGGAACTGACATTATGATAACAGTGAGGTGAAGGAAGGTTTGGTACTTGGTGGAAGGGTAAAAGGCAAACCATTTAATGGGTTCCAAAATCCGACTTTGTTCCAAGCAATGAGTGCCCAATTTTTGAAGATATCTAGTGTGAGTCTTCTCCTTTATCTCTTGACTTCTAAAGCTTGTTTCATATTGTAAGTTTGGAACCAACTAAAAGGCGCTTATCCAAGGCTACTATAAGATTCTTTATGCCCAAGCAGTTATGGAATCAACCTGTCTGTGACCCTCTTGATGATTGGTGAGTAAATTCACTAGTATCTCTCTTGTCTCAACTAAGGTATCTTCATTCAAATTTGTTGAGACTGGAGAATGTGGCCAAGGATCCTCAAGTGGGGAGTACATGGATCAGTTGTTTCTCAAGGCCATTGTGATTTGTGGTTGAAGCCTAATTTCCTGTCTCCATCCATATGGTGTTCTCTTGTCCCTACTTCTACTATGGTTGTTCCTATTGGATTGGACACTTGGATAAAATTCTAATGTCTCCAATGTTGGGATAATGTTGATGTAGGCTTGGAAGGAAAGAAACGATGGAACAGGCAATCAGATTGAATGGTTAATTTTACAAGAAAGACGCTAATAAGGCTAGAAGCACTGTGTCCATAAAATGCGAAGGGTGAATTTACAAGATGGCTGCTACAATGCTAGAATATCTGTATGGAGTTGACTGTTATGCAAACAAGAAGCAATGTGCCGATAAAATGTTTGTGGAAATGAGGGGCAGGACTAGTAATGAAGGATTAAATATGGATGCATTTTTGGGAATGTAAGAGAAACATTGTTTGGCTATGTGCATAGAAAACTAATTATTGCACTGGTAAGGAGTGATAAGGTGTAAACTAGGGGTTATAGATGAAATAGGGTAAGGCCAAAAGGGACGTAGTTTGAACTTTGAAGTAGTCAGAAAAGATCAAGAACTCACAATTTAATAAATCTATGAACCTGGATAGAGTGGAATGCAAAACAGAGTTTTTGTTGCGTACCAATATGATTAGGATAAGGAACATAAGGTTTTGTTGAATTAGGTCTGTTTGCAATACATTATTGAAACAAAAAGGTTTGTTTCCTTTCTTCTCTTTTCCTTTTTATTATGCAATTAAAAATGCAGAATTTAGTAATCAGTCTTGAATCCTAATAGGTTTTAGGTTTGCAAAACAGAAGAAAAGTGGTGAGAGAAAGGAGAGAGAATAGAAGAGAAACAAGAGAACACAAGTTGTTGAAAGGAGGGACAGATTCTAACAGATCTGCCGCCGCCACTCTCTTAATATTTATAGGTTATGTTTAGTACATAATGGAAAGGACACAAACTTGTGTTCTTTCCATAATAAATAAAGTAAATAAAAGCTGAAATAAATAACAACTGAATTAACAAACTGACTCAAACTGACACTACTATAACTGAAACAAATAACTACACTGCTGTCTTACGAACACAGTGGGGACCACTGCAGTGGGGCCCACATCAGTGTTCTCTACAATATTAAATAATACAAGATGGAAAGGGGGGTTCTATTATAAACTAGTCTGACCATCCCATTGGAGCTCAAGAATTGGGAAAGTACTCTTGATAGCAATATGGACAAACAGCAGACTAGCATGTGCAGGATGGCCTTGAAGCTCATGATAACCTACAAGCACATGATAACCTACAAGCACAGTTCATGGGCATAATCCTAGCTGTTGACTTTAGTGCTATTTCAATGGGCTTATGCATGTTGGCCTGTAAACACAATATCTATCTTATTAGGGCCATCATCAAAAGGAGAGATTGGCGGTGAGTGGTGGCTAGCGTAGGTTGCATAGGTTCTTTAGAAGCTTCCCTTTCTTCTAAATTTTCCACTAGAGGTTGCTTAAAGAGCTAGATACTAATTTATTTATTTTTCTGCGAACTTTGTCTTTGTCCCCATCTATGAATGTAAGCATACTTGTCTTTGCAAAATGGCATTCTTTTTCTATAAAACTAGTGAAACAAAGAGATTATATCTTTGTCCTATCATCTTCCTTTTCCTTCTTTTTTTATATTTATTCTTTTATGCAAGTAATAATTAAAGATGCTACAATTCTGATCTCAAAATGGTACTTCTGATCCTTCTTGGATTGTACTGAACCATTAGCTGCCTATAGGAGCAGCATATATTTCTTGTGTTGATACAAATTCTTTTTCATCAATTAACAAAGTTGCTTAAATCCTGGAGAAATATCCATCTATCAATATTCTTGAGCAACAAATCTAATCTATGACATTAATATTATCTTAAGTACTGGTAATTTCATTAATATTCATGCTACTCCTTATTTGGCTAAGGTTGGCTTCTATGCTAATGCTTCCATAATATTTGTTTGTTTTGATGCTTTAGATGTCAAAATTTCCAGCTAAGTGCTATCATTTCCTTAACCATATTGGCTAGTTTTCTCCTAGATATTGTTAGTCAAAACCTCGTCCTTTGTTAAGCTATATTCTTCAATTTAGCATATCTGGGTTTCTGTTCCATGTTTATCTCATGTGTTTCATTTCAACTTGTGCCTTTAATGATAGAAATTATATGGCAGGCTTCAAGATGTTGGAAAGCCAAAGGCTGAAGTGGCAGCTCATCGTGTCATGGAAAGAGTTAGTGGAGTCGACATTGTGCCTCATTTTTGCCGCATCCAAGATAAAGATCTTGAGTTTTATAATAAATTTAATATTATTGCCCTTGGTCTTGATTCAATCGAGGCTCGTAGCTACATCAATGATGTGGCTTGTAGTTTTCTAGGTTGGTTTCTTTTTACTTCCCTTTTGGTTAGTAGTCTATTTCCTTTTCCAATTTATACATGAAAATTATCTCCGTTTTGTTAGTTTTGTTCAATCCAATATCTTTGGTGCTATTTCTTCTGATCTTGAGTTCTATTTTATCTTAAAATCAATTTCTTCTGTTCTATGCCCATTCATTTATTTGATGTTCTAGCGGATCCATATGAAGTCTTAGTGTGTGTATCTTCATGAATTAACAGTAAGGTTTTTATTAAAGAAAAGAATTGTGATAATAGCAGAAATAAATAACATGGGCACCGGTATTCCAAAAAATAGATGATATAATAATGAGCTCTGTGGAATGGCTTTTTGTTGTAATGCATTTTGATTTGTGAAATGGTTAAATTTTCATTTTCTCCCCTAGTCCCCTTCTTATAAATACCCCGTCAATGACAGGGTCTTCAGAAAAGAGAAGAAAGAACCAGAGGTGTTAATCCAGTGTATTGTGGCCAGATTTGCTTCCTGGCTTTCTATCATCCCCGAATTTTGTAATCAGAACTTGTTTATGATGCTTAACTCAGTTAGTCTGTGGGAGTTATGATCATATCCTTTGGGGGAGAACTGGCTTGCAGTTTCCCTTGTTCTTGTATGATTATCCTTTCATCACAATAAACTTTACCTTGCCTCTTTTCAAAAAAAAAAAAAAAAAAAGAAAACACCCCGCCAATGAGTAATTTTTTTGTTCTTCTTTCATTTCTAGAATTTAATGTCTTTTTGTGAGGGATTCTTGCTTTGAATTAATAAGAGAGAGAACGGATGCTCCAAGTAATCTTTGCTACTATTGTGTATTTTATTTTTTTATATAAGATATATTTTCAATATTCATTAGAGTGTGATTTGTTTATGCTGAATTATTTTTCACCTATTTACTTATATGTTTTTGATCAATTTTACTTTGTCTCCTATGTTTGTTGCATTCAGTATCAATTATTCTAGAGTTGTCATTGGCTTCTCTATCTTGTTATTGATTTTATGTAGTATGCTCTTTTGTTTTTTGGAAATTTAGAATATGATGCTGAAGACAACCCGTGTGAAGAAACTATCAAACCCATGGTAGATGGTGGGACCGAGGGTTTTAAGGGCCATGCTAGGGTTATAATGCCGGGTGTCACACCATGCTTTGAGTGTACCATCTGGCTTTTCCCCCCTCAAGTAAAGTTTCCTCTATGCACGCTGGCAGAAACACCTAGAACAGCTGCTCATTGTATTGAATATGCCCACTTAATTAAATGGGATGAGGTAATGCACAATACTTCTCTGTGTTTTTCTCTCTAGCAGTTTGAGTCTTCCTTCAGTTTTTTTAAGATATATCACTTGCAGGTGCATGGCGGAAAACCTTTTGATGCAGATGACCCAGAACATATGCAGTGGGTTTACTCAGAGGTTATTACATTTATTAGGTGATATTGTTGTGGAAGTTTTATTTTTTTCCTGGTGTTTTACTCACACTTTCTGATATTCTTCACAGGCTGTCAAAAGAGCTGAGCTTTTTGGAATTCCAGGTGTCACCTATTCTCTAACTCAGGTATCCACATGCCTTTTCTTAAAATCCTCAGGTACAAAAGCTTTCTGGAAGATCCATTTATCCAAAGCGAAACATTTCTAACTACATCTTGAAACTAGGGGTGCAACATGGGCAGGCTGGCCCTATGGTACCTGGATACCTGCACATGTAGCATACCAGTGTTGGACACAATATTTACCTGATAGGACACTAGATACTGTTCTAGAGTGTACTTGGTAGCAATAACACTTGTATCATATGTATTTGCAAGAATGTAGAATAGTGTGTTTTAACAGATCAGATTTTCATTGTATAAAAGATTGAGCATTGTGAAGATCTGTTGTAAGTTAGAAGTTCAATTAAATTGGCAAGATATAAGCATTGTGAAATGACACTTAGGGCCCATTTGATAACAGATGAAATTGCTCAACTTAATAACTTTGGACTGTATCCAGTCCACTCCTCCCAAGACCCCAGATAGCTAGGACCAACATTGGGTGATAACGTTTTTTTTTTTTCATTTTCTGTGAGCTTCTTTAACGGCCCAAACTGAAGCTGGGTTGATTACCATAGTCTCAAATGTTTGATTATTTAATTATTCTATCCACTAATAGACAAACAATAAGTCATTCAGTTCAACCACTTCAGCTGTTATCAAACTGCCCCTTATCTTAAAAAATTAGGTATAGAAGTCATCGTTGTCAGTGGCACTTAAATCCTTGTCCCAACTATATGGGGTCAGCTACATAAGTCCTGTTTCACCATTCTGTTCTGTTTGGTGTTATATCCATTGTTAAATTATGAGCACTTAATAATTTCTTACTACTTCAACAGTTCAACCCATATCCTTTTCGGTCTGCCCCTAGCTCTTCTCACCCCTTAAGTTTGTAACAGGTCACTTCTTTTTACTGGTCTCTAGATGGTCTTCTTTGTAAGTAACCAAACTATCTTATTCTACTTTCTCATTTAATCTTCTATTGGAGCCACTTCTTGTATTCTTGTCTGAGATCTTAAGGAAATGTAGAGTTGTATTCGGGCATGTTCGTTTGCTCTGAAGTCTGACATCTGAAAGTGCAATAATTACATTAAGAGGTATATTGGTATTGGTGAACTTTTCTTTCCTTTGAATTTTGAATGCAGAGAATGTTGTTCTGAATTCTGAAAATTATCAAATATCCATTTTGACCCCATATATGAGAGTTTTTGTTTGTTTTTTTGGGGGTATCATTGGAAAACAAAAGTTGTATGATTGCACTTTAAGAAATAAGAGATAAGAGGAAGCGAATAACCATTCGTCTCTTAAAGTTAAAAGATTCCTCTTAAGAGATAAGAGTTAAGAGGAAACGAATAGGCCCTTCATGTCAGTTACCATATTGGAGCATTATAAGGCTGGATCTAGTTTAAGGCCAACCCAAGCCTGGCCTGAGCCATTAATTTAACAAATTTAGCCCAGGCTTGGGCAGAGACCTTCGGGCCTAGAGCTCTTTCTCACCAGATTTGGTACAACTATTCCATCTCTACACCTTGTAGATAAGACTTTAATCTCCTACTAACTAGGTATGCAATGAGACAACTCAACCCAACTAAGCCTTGTTGCAACTACATGGGGTTGGCTACACGAGTTCTATTCTGCCATTCCATTCTGTTAGTGCCATATCCATTGTTAAATTATGGATCTTCAAATAAGGGAATGCCCTAGCATATCCTTGTTGATGAACCTTGTTGAAGTTTAGGGAAAATCAAGCAATATTTATATATTGGATATTTGTATAGTGCATAGGGCTATATTTTAACAAATTGCACATTTGATGAGATTATCCTTTGATATTGTATATTGTATAGGATATAAATATGCAATATACATGGAGGGAGGGAGCTAGGTTTGTATTGGGTAGAGCCTAGGCTGGGCTGGGTTGGCTTCAGTTTTAGTTTGGGTTACATGATATTTGGGCAAAGCCTGACCTGCCTGATGGCAAAACCTGAAGTTCCAGGCCTAATCCTAGCCTAAATCCCAAAATCTAACCCCAGCCTATGCAATTTTGGGTTGGGCATGCCGAAGTTGCATCCTTGTTTGTTTTAGCTTCCATAACATTTTGTTGTTTTCAGGTGTCATTGTGTCCAAGGTTCAAAGTATCGACACGTATCGGCCGATACGTATCGTTCCGGGACCCCTCCGATATGCCCCTACAGTGGGTGTATCAGGGGTCTGACCGGTTCAGGGGGTGGAGGAGCCCTAAACCGCCCCCCTGAACCGGTTGCGAAAAAAATAAAGAAAAAGCAATAAAACACAGTATTGATTCACCTGATACGCCCTTACCGGCGTATCAATATTTTGAACCTTGATTGTGTCAATATTTTTTACTGTCAAAGGGCTATTAGTTGACTCAAATTGACTACTAGTTTCAGTTGGAAATTTCCTTTTCATCAGGTCATCAGTTGCAAATTCTTCTCAAAACATATCTACAAAGGGTTGGGCAATCAAATGAGTGGTTGGAGTAGAGAGGTGCATCTAGTGTCTTATGTGGCCAATGTATGCCAATGAGACTAAAATAAAAGTTTTACATGACAACCATAAGATCAGCAGTGTTATATGGAAAAGAGTGTTGGTCAATCAAGAAGCAACACATCCAGAAAAGCTTGTGTAGCTGAGATGGGTGGATCAACTAGAAAGGATAAAATTAGAAGGAAGTATATTTGAGATGACTTAGGAGTAGCCCCAATTGCTGACATGATGGGAAAGTCAATTAAGATGGCCAGTGAGGAGTAACTTGGTGGAAGTAGAAGGCTTTAAAAGTGCAATAAGATGACCAAAGAAATGTGAGCTGAAGTGCTATGAAATGAAATGATTTAAGAACTTCGAAATTGACAAAAACGTGGCTCTTGATGGAGCACAATGGTGGAACAGAGTTTGTGTAGCCAATCCCAAATAGTTGAGATTAAGGTTGAGTTTAGTTTAGTTGAGTATCTTCTAAGATACTCTCCATTGTCAGTGATGATTTCACTTCCACAATTTCTTTGTGTTTGTAGTCACATGATTAGGGATCATTCTTTAGTGCAATGTAAATTCTTGGGCTGACGAGTGAGAACACGGGTTCTGAGAACGGCCACTTTGTGCAAGAAGTGCCAAAGATTTGGTCCATATCAATTCCACCCCTTCCATGGCCCCCCATATGGTTGGAACCAACAATGAGTGATGGCTTTTTGTAATAATGTAAATGTATCAATTGAACCCTATTCGTATTTATGGAATAGTTTACATTCTGTATTTGAAACATAATCAGATATCTCTCCAAATGCTTTGCAGGGTGTTGTCAAGAATATTATTCCTGCTATTGCTTCTACAAATGCAATTATATCAGCTGCATGTGCACTGGAAACCTTGAAGATTGCAACATCATGTAGCAAAACACTATCCAATTATCTATCGTGAGTCTTTTTTCCTTTTCTTTTTCTGCTCATCTTCTAGGAATGCAAGTAATAACACTCATTTCACTGAAGATCATTGAGCTGTTTATATCTTAGTACCTGTTTTCTGACATGAAACCCTAGATTAACAAATGACGAAAAAAGATGACTGCACTCATCAATGGTAAGGTCACCACTTTATTTTACAACACCAAATTTGGAAGGAAATGGATTTCACTACTTGTTGATTTATGTGTTTTGCAAGTCAAAATTTCATTGCCAATCACTTATAAACAGCTTATTACCTGCTTTGTGGACACAAAACCCTGGATTAAAAGGACCAGATTTGTGCACTCATCAACAATAAGAGCACCACTGATGTTACAACACTTAGTTTGGAAGGACCTGAGTTTGTCAGTTATTTGTTATGTGAGGATTTGAAATAGTTGTTTTCTTACATCTTACTGTTTGAACTCATATTTCTGTTTAATTATCTTCACTGTAAATGTGTTGCATTGATATTGTACATTCCCATTCGCAAGAAAAAGGAATCTTGACCAAAGGGCCTGAAAGAGCATTTTGCAATATTCTAGCTGACAAATAGTTATGTTGTGGAAATCACAGTTTTGTGATACAAGGTATTTGCTCTTTTGCATAGAAGAAGCAATGAAGAAGAAGGAAAAGAAACAAAAGAAGATGGGGGTGGGGGAAAAATGATACAAGGTGCTACTTGGAAACAAGTATTCACAGTGAAAAAACCATCCAAGTGAATGCTCATTTAACCTTGATTTTTTAATCATCAAATTTTTAAGAGAACATAATAATAGTATCACATCACCCCACAGTACATCCCTGCCGTATATTGGGAACATCTCCCGATGATGACATCATCGATTCTGGTACTATCATCGGGAGATGTTCCCAATACACGACGGGGATGTGCTGTGGGGCATTATGGGGCGGAGATGTGAACTCATGTACAGTAGCCCCTTTTGGTTGATGCTGCACATAGCACAACAGTGTTTTTATGTCATGCATTCTAACTATTTGGCATTATTGCAGGTATAATGGTCTTGAGGGCCTCCATACCAAGGTGACTGAGTTTGTCAGGGACAAAGATTGCCCTGTCTGTGGTCCAGGTGTTCTTCTTGAGCTTGACACTACAACTACCCTTCAGAAGGTTTGTGTATTCCTGTAGCATCTTTCCTTGAGCATATTATTGACTTGGTTCATAGATACAGCATGTCTATTTTGGTGTTTCTTTTTTTGTGGGGTTGGATTGAACAAGGTAGGAAATTAAAATTTTCGTTTTCATCCTGAGTTGCTCAAGATGAGTGTTATTTTAGTATCAACTTTGCATTGTCCACCAGATAGTATAGGCTGTATGCAATTCTGGCTTGGATTAGTGAATTTAATACTTTTGTTTACTATCATCAAGATTCTGAGGCTGTATCTAGCTGGAGGAAAATAAATACTTGCCTTGCATTTCATTTACAATATTCAAATTTGTGTCTTTTATAATCAGCCTATGCAAATTGGGCACAGGCATGCATGTCTGTTGGGCATCTCCTTGTCCTGGAACCATGAAAATTAATATTTATGATATATAAATGTTTGGCAGCAAAAAACTGTATGATAACTAGGTTTTGGCTAAATTGCCAAAAGAAAGTTTTTTTTTTTGCTGGATAAAAGTATAGCATTGACAATAAGTACAGTAACGTACCATATTAAAGAATACCGAGTCTTCTTCATGTTGATAAGTTCCTTGTTATGAAAGTGCTACTGTTTAAGTCTCTTTGGCATGTAATAAGTCTATGCTTCCATTTACTCTCTTTTCTGAACTGAGAAAATCATAGGCAAAAATGCAATTATTTGGTTCTTGTAACTGAAAAGTTATTCCTTATCTTGTTTTTACCCTACTTTACTTTGGGGTTCTTATGGCTAAAGAGGTTGTTCTTCACAAATTATTTCATTAAATACTATGTCGGGTCAGGTAACCTTAATTCAATGCTTACCTTGGGTTTTCCTTTATTTGATGCTTATCTTGATTTTGATTCTATGGAAACAGTTCATTGAACTCCTTGAAGAATACCCTAAGCTGCATATGTCCAAAGCAAGTGTTACATACCGTGGAGAGAATCTATACATGCAAGCACCTCCAGTTTTGGAAGAGATGACTCGATCAAACTTAACTGTACCTCTTTTTGACCTCATGGGTAAAATCCCGAAAGGCATTGTCCATATCAGTGGTACAGCCACCAAAAACGACAAGAAGACATCATGCACTAGGAAATTACGTGTTTTGTTCAAGGTAATTGATGGGGATACAGATATGGATACAGCCACTGGTTCTTGATTTTTCATCCAGAAGGCACTGTGCCTGATTTTACTTGAAATTGAGGCATCCTAAGTTTCCACCCAGCAAGGAACTAGAAGATGTGCTTTTCAAGGAAGTCATCTTAGTTAATACAGCAAGTGGGAGGTGAGTTTGGATTTCTCTTTTCTTTCTTATAACGGTTTTAAAATCTGCTTGTTGTCAAAAAGTCTTGCTTAAAAGTGAGTGCAAGATGTTAGAAGGACCACATTTTTATTGTCTGGGAATTGGGAGAGAAATTTTAGCATAAACTGCTTAAAAGCAACTTTTTTTGCTTACTGAAGGATTATTTTGCATAGAACTGCTTGAAGATAAACCTTTTTTGCTTAATAAAGGATATATTTAGTCAAGGGTAGCCTTTCCACGCATACCTTGATTTTATTGTTGAAGAGATTTTTTTTTGCCACAACTTATAGGTGCTTTCACTCGATTCTCTTTCTATTTTCCTCGAGGTTCTTTGCCATAGTTTACTGGTAAGTTCTCTCACTTCATCATAATGAGTGTGATTTCTTGTCCTTAAGCTAGATTGTTCTTCAATCGCCCCAAAATAACGAGTGTCTCGACGTTAAGTGGTTCTTTGCCACCATCCTTTTGTTATCTTAAAAGGGGGCAATTCTTTTTTGGGATAAGTATACTGTACTCCACCTTAGAATTCTGAATTCCACAGCAAATCTACAACAATTCAAAATTTTAAACACCTTCACCTAAACATCAATGCCCACCCTTGTATTGGCATCAATTTTGAGCTGGTACCTACCCAAACTGTATGGTGGAGCTAAGATTTGTGTGGTAGACTGAAAAGTAAAAACCCCCTTCTTTTTGAAGGCACTGTATTTGTCCTAAATCAACTAGGGCAAATGATTTCAAACATCAGTTCCATTATTCCTCTTATAAAAATATTTATAGTCCTATAGTTGTGGCAAAACACGCATGATACATTTATTTTCATACAAATTGGCCGTTCTTGGACTTGACCCACATTTTTCATTCTTACCAGCCCGAGATTTTATCGTTACGCCAGGTAATGGCCCCTGGTAGGGCAACAAGATCAAGTTGGGGCTACAAATTCACTGAAAAACAGATTAATTATGGCAGGTTCTGAACCCAAAAGAGAAGTCGAAATTATGTTCTCTGCTCCATTAAATGAAACGTTTCAATCAGTACAACAGTATCTGTACTCTAGGATGTAAAGATTATTCCGGAGAAAACACTAATGCGAAAGGGTAAGTTCTCTCTATTGAATATCGAACATCTAAAATCGCAGAGAGTGGATTTCTTCACGGTTATACCACTTACGAGACAAGTAGAAAATTCTGGATATTGTGATTCATTTTACCACTGCAGTGGACAACATTCGCACACCACTGACAGAAAATAGCAAACCGTAAAAAATAACGAATAAGAAAAAGAATAAAAACCAGCTAAAAAACGGTGGTAACACGGATAACAGATTCATTCACAGGCCACATATCTTTTCAACAATAATCGCAACAACCGCAAGGAAGGTAGAAAAAAAAAAAAGAAAGAAAGAGGGAAGGTATTGGAGAAGCCTTTGATTCCCTACTACTCGGTGAAGGGATATTGTTCATATCTGATTGTACAAACGTGGAGGACAGAGCGCGCACCAATACGGGTGTTACAGGAACTAAAGATAGCCTTCTCAGCGGCTTGGAGGCAGGTGGTGCAGTCTGCGGTGGAGAGTGTTGGTTTACAGGCAGCATGGCCATAAGCAAAAGCATTAGGATAGGGAGAGATGGTGTAGTAGTCATGGCCGCTTCTCGATGGCGTGACAGCCTCCAACTCCGCCAACACGTATGCTAGACTGGCAGCAAAGGGATCGCTCTTGGCATACACACCGGAATTGCAGAGCACTATCGTCGTCACGTTTGTGTTTGCTTCACTCCTGACCATGCTGATGCTCCTGCATATATTCAAAACACCTATTACAGCAACCATCATCTTGACAAGAGAACCCATGCCTCTCTTCCTTCTCTCCTGCTGTAATGTCTTCGGCAAAAAAAAGAACATCTAAGCCTCCTTGGACTCACAAGTTCTTGGTTTCTTTTGCTTCTTTCTGTCAGTCTTCAATAATTGTTCATTGCAATGTTTTGTCTTTGGTTCCTCTTTTTATTTCTTGTCTTGCTTCTTTATTCTATTGGGTATTTATTCAAGGACACATGTTTTTTTATAGTGAAAATTCCGGATCAGTACCTTAAATATACTTTGGCTGGAGTGATAATTTGGTCCCCAAACTTTAAAACGTGACAATGCAGTACTCAAATTTTCAAAATGTGACAATCCAATACCTGGACTTTCAAAATGTGACAATCCAGTACCTACTGTTAACCAGTCTGTTAATAAGCCATTTTATTGTCAATGTTTGGATGGTTGATAAAGAGAATTAGATGGCATTTTTGACTTTTCAAATGTCACTTAACAGCTGATTAATGGTAGGTGCTGGATTGTCACATATTGAAAGTTTGGATATTGAATTGTCGCATTTTAAAGTTTGGAGACCAAATTGTCACTCAAGCCAAAGTACAGGATAATGCTCAGGAATATTCCCTTCTTTATAATACCGGGGAATGACCAATTGACCATCCCGTACCAGGTAAGTAGGTAGGGGGCTAGTATTTTAATCAATTTTGTTTGACATGCATCATTTATATTGGAGATTTAGGTAGTTTTTTTTTGATATATAGATTTTTTACTAAGTTTTAATAGATTAAATCGAATTTTATTTGTAAACAATAGCTTATTCTATGGAACTACATCGTTTGAAATTAATTTTTTCATTTGTGTTCTTTTTCAATGGAGGTAACTATCAATCCATCACTAACATTTTTGAGAGTAGAGGTAACTACCATTTGAAGGTCATACATTTTTTTTAGAGTGGATAGACAAGAATGATTCTATTTGATAACCAAGATTTTGATATTCTTTTTTTGAAAAGATATGATGCCACTTGAATATATAGAATCCTATTTAATTTCTAATATCAATGAATCAAATTTGAGTCGACCTAGCATCCCTTTGCGGCCCTGCCCCATACAATGAAGTCTTCTTCATGTTTTCACCATGACCTTATGCACACAAGGGGATGCAAAATGTGGTGTGGCAATATAAAATTAAATCACCTATGGTGTGCTCATATAAAATTGCCCTGACATGGTGTGCCCAAGTCATATTTGTGTCAAAAGTTAAATCATTTTTATGATGTTTTGCATGGAGTCATAACATCATAGCATCATACGGGGAAGTAAAATCAATAGGCAAAATAAAATAGAAATTATTAATTCTAATAATTACTATTTATTATAAGAAAAAATTATTATACCACCATGTATATTGTACTGTAAATTAATCATTTAATTTATGGTAGACCATTCATTTTGTCTATCTTATGAAATATTAAAATCTCTTTTTATTGGAATTTATGTCAAGAGAGTATATTAGAGTTAGGGGTAAGACTATAAGCATCTTGCTTATTATGATTGTATTCAAGATTGTCTGCATCCACTGATTCTGATGTACTTAGAACACAAAAGATTGCTTTTCATTTCAATCTTAACCAACTTTTTAAAATTTTACAGGAAAACTTCAATAAGAATTTGCCAATAAAGTTATAACTTGGGTAAAACTTTTCCTAGTTTAAATATTACATATTACTAAATTTTGTTTCATGAGCACTTGAGACCATTGTCCTCATATTGTAATGGTCAGATTTTTTTTTTTTTTTTAATTTTTATGTTGGTGGTATGCCTGTGTCCCCCATGGGGTTTGTTGTGTAGTGCAACACCATAACCATAACACTCCTCCCCCCAAAACCTTGGTGGCATTGAGATTGGATCATGTGTTTTTGGCTACAACCAGCGCCAGGTAGTACCAATTGAGCCACCATCAGTTGGTCAACAGTCAGAGTTTATAGCATTTAAAAAGACAAAAAACAAAAACTTAGATTTAGGATTTAATGAGACGAGAGAAGATATTACAATTGACTATTGGAGGGGGGAATGATCTTATTAGTCAGAACAATAATGGATTTTATTAGAAATAATTAAGTTTTCCCATGCTTCAATAAATGGCTATATTTCTCTAAATTTTGCTGCATTCTTATGCGTTTTAAAGGCTACCCATGTTTCATCTGCTGTGTTGATGGAACATACTAGTCTCTTGTTACAAAACAAACGACCTTACCACTGCTTTCTCTTGCAACTGCTCCGATGGCACAGTTCCATCACCTGTCCTTGGTGCATCAAAATTAATTTAAATTCACCCTGCCTTGCCTCTTTCTATCTGATCCAAGAGATTTTCCTTTCCTCTTCTTGATTAGGAGAAAAGCTTAAGAAGTCCATTAACTTACTTCTAGCCTTTTCTATCAACTTCTAGCTGGTTCCTTGAACTATATATAAGAATGGAAATTTCTACTTATAGCTTGCAACTACTGCCCTGCAATGTCTTATTCTCCAGCAACCAATGCACAAAATGACCTGACTACTTCTGTATCAGTGTATTGCAGTCATTTTCCTCAGGCTCCGGTGAATCACCCTTGGTTTCATTATCTTGTGTTTGCCTCACAAGAATCCCACCCACACGTCACTACAACTGCACATTGACATCTCCCGTATTTGCATGTTATGTAAATACATAGACGACCCACTATTGCTAGGTCATAAGGGGAGATCTTAAAAATAAATAAATAAGGAGGGATGAGACATCAATGTACCAACAAAAACAAAATTGCCTAACTTGTTTCTTACCAAAACCAGCACGCTTCTGCCTTTTGTAACAGGTAGAGTTTAACTTTGAGCCATTACTAAACACCTCTATAATTCGTGGATTTATTAAAACCTATACAATAGTTTGCATTTTACTAAAATATCTCATATAATTTGCATCCAGTTTGTTTAGCCAACCTTCTGTTAGGCCTAATGTTTATTCTGATGGCACCCTTAACACTTTAAATCAAAGTATTTACAAAAAAAAAAACCTCCAACAACAAAACTTGATTGGAGAAGACATTGAATACATGTGATTGAGGCTACATGTTTCAGGCATGTGCCATTTTCTAAGCTGGATCCATATTTTGTCTGATAATAATCGATTTAGAATGTTGTTGGGTTATGGTTGAGCTGGTGCCGGGTGCCGCATGTCACCTCTACGATTGCCTTATCACCTCGGCCACGTCGGCACCATGTCATGTGGATAAGCGCGACCAAGACAGGAGAGCAGCATAYGGATGATGACAACTTCGGTGGGGATTAGGTCTTATCCTGAAGTTTTCGGCGGGCAACCTCATCCCGACAACCCTGGAGGCCTTATCCGACCAGGATACGGATCTTCGGCTATAAAAAGGTACCTCCCACTCAAGGTAAGGAATCCAATTTTTGACTTTCATACCGTTACTCTGCTTGGACCAACGCTGTTCTCTCAACTGCTCAGCCCGACCACCCATCATTTTCACTAACTTGGCTCTACTCAGTTGGCAGGATTATCTGATTGTGACCTTGGCTYAAGAATTACCTCGGATCAAGCAACATTAAGTGCTACCCTAACTTAAGATGACGAATATTCCTCTGTTATGGTGATTTTCTCTCCTTCACATGTTGATCATAATACTATAGAAATTTGTTTCAGGTATTAAATGATGGATGTTAGGGTCAAAACCCACTTCCACCTAATGAAAGTTTGATTAAATAAATTTGTTGCAAAGTATAGGGAGTGGTTTACTAGTAGAGCTATAAAATGGGCCGTGTTGGGCCAACACGGCACGACCTTCGGGCTGGGTTGATCCGTGGGCCAAGCCTCGGGGCCAGGTTAGGCCATGGATTGCGCCAAAGTTATTTATTTAAGAAAAATGAAAAAAACTTAAAATTTTAATTTTATATGAATTTTGATATATACAATTATTTATATATAATAATTAAATACAATAGTATAATAAAATTGAAAATAATTATTTATTTTATTAATATATTACATACGTATATATGGTAACATGAGGGTTAGGTTACCATATCCTCGCCTTGAAACATTATTATTTAATTATTTTTCAGTTTAGCTTCCCAAGGCAAAGGTGCAACATCTCTCTAGATAAGATCCCAATGCTTTTCATCAAGAGGAGATACTCAATGGTCTCAACATTTAAGCACCCAAATGAGACTACCAAGCCATTCATGCCTGCAGGAAGGAACAAATTCTTGATGTCCTCTCACTTGTAGGATAATAAATCGGAAAAGTACACTCTACTCCACTACAAAATTCTTAATTTTACTGGAGATCTACAATAATTTAAAATGTCAAATACCTGTGCTCTAAACACCAATACCTATCTATGTATTGACATCAATTCCGAGTTGACATCTATCCCAATTGTATGGTGCGACTAAGAATTTGAATGATGGACTAAACAGTCATTCTCCCGTTTAGATATTGTTGGTTTTTTGGTGGGAGGAGTCTTAACAGATTCAAGTACTTTTCAATTAATGATATTTTGGATGTTAACATGACAGCACAAGTGAGGGGGCAAAAGGGATGACGTTCTCATGCTTCGTTGGCTCTTTCTTTAGGTAGTGGTTGATCCATTTTAAGAGCTTGTTACCTTTGTTATCTCATACTGTGTAATGCAATTATACCGTGTCCAAATCCATGCATTCCTTCGCCTAATATAACTGTTTGTCATTCTCCTCTCTTTTGTCTGATAATCATAAATATTAGGAAAAATTTCTGATAGGTACCTGTATTTTAGGTGAGTGTCAATTTAGTATCTAAATTTTAAAATGCCATAATCTAATATATAAACTTTCATTTTGTGATAATTTAGTACGGTTAATGAATCATCAGTTATGTATATCACGTGACGTTATGCGATATTTAAGACATTTAAAAACATTAAAATTACGCTTCAAAATAAAATAGACTGTTCATCATCTTCTCAAAAAATATGGAACAAGAGTCCAAGCTCTCAACATCATTTCATGATGAAAACTCAAGAGCCCAAAATAAAGGGCTCGCCGCTGGCCACCACCATGGCCAGCGAGAGGGGTGATGTTCTCAGTTCGCCACTGTAAATGCCATCATGGCTCACACTTGACGCTCCTGATGAAGAGAGAGAAAACGAACCACGACGGAGGCGGAATAGGAATTGCGAAAGAGGAGAGCAAGAAAACACGTACGGAAAACCGACTTTTCCGATTGGAGTTTGTTAGTGATTAATTTGATTTTGATCAAACTCTACTCAATGTCGACCCTTCTCGCGCAACATTGGGCGTCTTCTACACCTTCATTGGGCTCGGAAAAATGCCAACTTTTTGCTTTCAATTTCTCATTACCGCCGGAACGTGAGCATGATGGAAACGAAACCGACTTGGACCTCGTCATCTTCTTCTTGGCTTCGACTTCATATTGCACTTCCTCGACTTCTTCGGGCTTTTTAGTCTTTTTACCACGCTTGGCCTTAATAACGGACCACAGCGAGGTTTTGCTCCCGTGACGCAGAGGAGGATTCCCTGTTTCATCATCTTTTTTGTCCATATGTCGCCGGAAAAAAAAAGGCAAAGAAGTGGATCTCGAGCGTCGGAAAGGGCATTCACTGTCAATGAGATTCGACATGCGGCCGGTGGCCCCGATCCCGGTGTTAGACTTGGAGGAGGAACGAGAGAAGAAGGAAGAGGAAGACGAAGACGAAGAGGAGGAAGTGGGGTAGCAAGTGTAGGGTCGGACGTTAGCGCATTCGGGGCAGAGAGTGATGAGGCGGTCTCTGAGGCAGAAGGGCAGGCGCCGGTGGTTGGACGCTTGGAAGGGTGCTTCCGACATCTCCAAGCTTCTTCGTCGTCAATAAACAGCGCCATTGTTAATGGTTTGCCCTCTACCCGTCCTAGTTGGCTGGCTCTGTATTTCTCTTCTGAGCTTGTCCTGTTTGGGTTTTGGGGGGCAGGGGGAGGGGGTGGTGAAGGGTTCTGTTGCCGTTGGCTTCAAATGAAGAGTTAGGTTTAACCATGGTTAAGATGTTGAGATGGTTGATGGTTGATGGCGTCCATTCGCGTTTGGAAAGCACTGAGTTATTAACCAGAACCCGGAACGAGGGCTTGACTGGAAAGTTGTCAATGTTGGAAAGGATGGGCTGGTGACATGGCTGAGGGACGGGCTTAGCGACTCCTGGGATCACCTACACTTAACGGTGAATTAACACCAAATACTAAATCTTCACAAAATGAAAATTGGGGTAATAGATTGTCGAGCTTTAAAGTTTCGGGTACTAAATTGGCACTTGGCTAATGTTTCAAAGAAAGACAACAACAGCTGGGACCATTTATTGAACAGGACCCTGCTTAAAAGTTAAAGCTATTCATAGACTAGGATCTTAACCATCTAAGCTAATCAACAGAGAAAATGGATTAGGAGTTTTATGAGAGGGTGCCTTACATCTGCTGATATTAATTACACCAAAACAACTCRTCTCTAATAAATGCAACAGTAAATGAAACCAAGATATTTTTAGTGTAGTAGCTGAGATAGTGTGAGATCCAGTTTGAGTCGTAATCGTTTAAGTCTGGCTAAAATGGGAATGAGTGGTGGACTTGGCAACGCAGAAGGCAATACACAATACTGGATGTGCTTTGTCACTACACTTACCATGATAATAAAGCTACAATATATGGGAAAGAAACGCTGTCCATAACTAAATTACGATGGGAAGGAAGAACATTCAACAACAAAGTCATCACAACTGCTGGCCGGTATCTGGCACTAAGCACAATCGATGTGTCATTTTCCCGACCAATATGGGTTTGATAGCAGAAGCTCTAGAGAGAAGAAAACAGAGCTGGTTCTCTCTCTCTCTCTGTGACACACACAAGCACGCAGGCACTATGTGTATTTCTATGTTGTTGCAGATGATGACTATGATTATGCAGGTTTGTCCGCACAAACATTGCTAGTGATTTGACCATACATGTGGGAGAAGATATCTTTCATTTGCACAAGGTACGCCTCATCACTATCTTTAGTTCCTTGAAGAAGATTTCACATACAGTCAAAACCAATATACTAGAGACATTTTGTTACATCTGATGATATCCATCTTCATCTTAATTAATACCCATTTCCCAAAACAAGAGAAAGAACTTGGCTTCTTCAAAAAATTTATATAACCCTCCGTTGAGCAAATGATCTTGGTGAGAACCTGACAGGTAGTAACTTAAGCAATCAGGAATCAGCTTAGTAAAAACAAAAAGCAAAAAGGGAATCAGCTAAGTACTTTTTTTTTTTTTTTTCTTTTGAATTATCTTACACTATCATTAGTGTTTTCTATTAAAACAATATCTTCTAATATAAGACCATATTTTGATGAAATGATTGGGGCACAAAACCATGCAATTCACAGTGTAACACTCTATGAAATGGTGTCTGCAGTCCTATTAAGTATTAATGTATGTAGAGAGTTTCTTTGTGAAAAATTACTTGGGGGACAATAGCAAGAATATACAATTAATAGTAAATGTAAATCTATGCTGTTTTTCTTTGTTCAGCTCCCCATGGTCTCAAGAAGTGGTTATCTCAATAGTTTGATATTCAACAGAAGAAACAACGGAGAAGCAGATGCTGGCATGAGTGTCCCAATAATCCAATTAGACAGCCTTCCTGGTGGCTGCCAGACATTCGAGCTAGTAGTTAAATTCTGTTATGGGTTGTCAGTTAATTTGACAGGGAGTAACATTGCTCCTCTGTACTGTGCTGCACATTTTCTGGAAATGGGTGAAGATCTTAAACAAGGAAATCTAATTTCAAGAACTGAAGCTTTCTTGAGCTTTTTGATGCTTTCATCTTGGAAAGACATGTTTAGAATTTTGAAAAACTGTGAGGCCATCTCTGCATGGGCTGAAGAGTTGAAAATCCTGGAGCGATGCTCAGAATCAATTGCTTGGAAGGCCTGTATGGACCCCCAAGCAATTAGTTGTGGTGATGATGAAGCACAGTGCTTGAACGTTCTAACTAACAATTTCAACGAATCCAAAATCAATACAAAGGATGGTGCTGTTGGTAGTCATACAGAAGCAGAAAGTAATTGGTGGTTTGAAGATGTGTCTCGTCTCAGAATTGATCATTTTATCAAGGTGATTAATGCAGTTAAGAATAGAGGAATGAGATCAGACGTAATTGGGTCATGCATTATCAAATGGACTGAAAAATGGCTTCTACGTATCAAGAAAAACATCCATGACCATTTGAATGAGGAACCCAGAGTTACGATTGAAAGTTTGGTCAAGGTGCTTCCAACAGAGAAAGATTCTGTTTGCTGTAATTTCTTGCTTCACCTTCTCAAGGTGGGTATGGTGATGAATATCAATCCTGAACTACTGATGGTGTTAGAGAAAAGAGTGGCTTTGTTGTTGGAGAGTTGTTCTGCAGGAGATCTTATGGTGAAGAATCATCATGGAGACAAGGATTCAGTGTATGATGCAAATCTCATCATTAGGGTGGTAGAAGCTTATGTTTCATGTGTATCAAGTAATTCAATATCAAGAATATCTGTTGTGGCTAGCGTGGTGGATGAATATCTAGCACTGGTCTCCATGGACAGCAATCTCTCTGTGAAAAGTTTCCAATTACTTGCAGAAGCCTTGCCAGAAGCTGCCCGGTCTTGCCATGACAGGCTCTATCGGGCTATGGATGCATACCTCAAGGTATGGCTTCATTGTGCATTGTATTTTATAGTGCAGGAAAGTTTTAAAGAACATAGAAGGCAAATTGGAACATGGTAAACACAAAATTCCTTGAGAGCTTTCCCTCAACCAAAAACAGCCTTAGGAGACATTGATGGCAAAACAGAGAACTTGGAAAGCTAAATTTGAACTTGAATCATCTGGACTACATTGAATTCCTCTGATGTCAGGCTGTACAGTTTGTGTGATGGGCTCAAGTCAAACTCTGAACTGATAGGCCTAGTGAAGGCCCAAAGTGAAGCTACATTTTGTGTGTAACCATAGCCCCCCACATAGTAATTAGAGTGGCCTGAGCTAGGTTGCTGTAACCCATTTCAGTCTCAAACCAGATACTAGACAAACTTGAGATTACAAACATTATGGACCCAATGAGAAAAATAAGTAGATTCCATCTCTCCGAAGTAGGGATGGATTCGAGCCGAACTGAGCCGAGCCGAATAGTATGAGGGTTGAGCTCGGCTTGCCAAGGTAGTAGAAGGCTTGAGTTCAAGCTCGAGCTCGGTTCGAGCTAGAACCTTGAGCTCGAGCTCGGCTTGAGTCAAAAACTCGTAAGCTCGAGCTTGGCTCAAGCTCAACTTGAGAAAAATGTTTTATAAAAAAAAATTATATAAAAATATTTTTTATTTGATATTTAAAAAAATAAGAATTATAATAATTAGTTATTATTATATATAAAAATAAAACATTATATATGTAGCTATTTGAGTTCGGCTCGATTATTAAACGAGCTTGTAAATTGGGCTCAAGCTTGGGTAGCTCGTGAAGAGCTCGGCTCGTGACCACCCCTACTCCGAAAGCTAGAACCTATAAGCTTTTGATGAAAAAAGTTATATTGCAGGGCATCCCTTATGAGCTATGAGGTTTATGAAAAAAGTTATTTAACCATGCACTAATGATAAAGTTGGTTTTATGTGTGGCTTCACTTATACACCAATTTTATGAGCTTTTAATTGGCACTCCAACATATAAAATTAAAAGGGATATTACCCAATGTTTGGTCCCAGATAACCAGGGTCTTGGGAGGGGTGGACTGGATACAGACCCAAGCTTTGGCATTTTATTTGGCCCAAAGTGGCTGCTCTCAGACTTGAATTCATGTTTGATGTTTGTTGTACCTCATTTTGATATTAGTGTTCTTGTACTTGTAAACCCTAGATTTTACCTTGAACCAAACAATTCTTTCCTGATTAATCCAAAATCTAGAGTTCCGATAACCGCAAATTGTCTATCAAAGGTTAAATATGAATTGGCCCTAGTTTATTCACATGTAATGCTTGACATAGGGACATGATGTCTAATGAAGTAAATCTAACCTTAGAATCCCTAGGGGATTATATCTCACAGAATATCAACCAAGTACTTGCAGATCTGGAGCATTCAGTAAGTTTAATTTTAGTGGATTTTTCTCCACATTTTCTTTTGGAAAGAAGAAACTCTTCCCCAGGTACTAACTTTGGAAGTTTTCTCCTTGATTTCTAAGTAGTTTAATGTTTAAAATTGAACATGTTGGTCTTTAATTTACACAATTTTCTCTTTTCTTTCTGGTATGTAGCAACAATTTCACTGTYTTATATATCATTTTTGACATCTTTATTGTTTATTTTCTTCTTTTGGTAACAAGAAATAGTTTAAGAGACTGAGAATTAAGTTTACATTGGGTAATCATCGATTAGATAACCTTAGGAGTTGGATTTCCTTTTCTTTTATTTATTAATTTCTATTCATTATTTCATTTTAACATGCATCTCCAAAATTTGCAGTCGCATCCTATATTGACAGAAGAGGAAAGAGAAAGTGTATGTAGAGCCATGGACTACCATAAATTATCACAAGAAGCTCGAAAGCATGCGATGAGAAATGATCGCTTGCCCTCAAATTTTATGGTGCGATTTATCCTTTTGGACCATCTAAATATGGCAAGGTCTATGGTGGATGACACATCGAGATTTCAAAGAACTAAAACTCAAGCATTTATCACAGTGTCAAAAAGTCCAGCAAAAAATTTGATTAGAACCCAGAAGGAGCTTGAGATCATGAAACAAGAAGTTAAAAGGCTCAAGCTGCAACTCAATGATTTGCAATTGTGCAGACTAGAGCTCCAAAAGAAAGTGAAGAGAGGAGCCAGATAGAAGAGTAAAGTCTAATCTGTTAGAAATCTGTCTCTAGAATTTCAGATTCTACTTTATCTAGAATAAAAAAGAAATTCTTCTGCTTTCATAAGTAAGATTTAAAACTTAATGTTCACACACACACACACAATATGCTCAAATTAGTATATTTGACAAGACAGAAGGGCCTATGCCCCAGCTCTTTTATATGTTTGAGTTCTTCTATATGATGGGGGAAATGAAAATTTGGACAAGAGATTGTGATACGCAGAAATGTTTTGAAACATGGAGATGAAATGCATGGCATTTCACTACCTAGAGGCGTGAGATATAAAAGTAAGAGGCATAAGCCTCCTGAGTACAAAGAGACATAAACCTTATAAACCTCCTTAAGAGGAGGGGGATGAAGAGGAAGAAGAGAGAGGAGGGGGGGGGATTCTTTCCTTTCCTTTTTTTTCTTCTCTTTTTTTCTTTCTTTTTGTATGAGGTGTGTGTGAGGCACATGAGGCTTATCCCTCTAGCATGCCTCATGAAAAAGGCATTTACCTGGCACCTGAGACGAATGCCTTGGAGGTTTTAACGCCTCTGGCAACATGCCTTATGATGTTTTGGAGGTGCCTCGCCTGGAGGCACATGCTTCCCACGCCGTTTAAAACACTTGATACTCAGTTATTTAGGGTTGTCAATAAATCGGATTTGGATTGGACCCCATCCGATTCATACCCAATTCAAACGGACTGGACGGTCCTATGAGACATAATGGAGTGTCCTGGTCCAGACTTAAAGAGGTCCATGCCTTTATCGGATTGGAGTGGACGACATAAACCAATTGTCCTACAATCCGTCCGACGGACAGACTGTTCAACCAAAGCCAATCCAAGATTTTGGTAAAACACGTCTGCATTCTGGAATTTCCAACGACAAAACCAAAGTCTATCGGATCAGATCGGGTGGCAATTTTTTCTATATTTTTTCTCTGTTTTCCTTCAAGCCTTGAGTTTCTTTATGTGAAGATAGTTCAGTTTGGCTCTATCATATTTTCTGTTTCTTTTTTAAAGACATCATCTTCTCTTCTAGTTTGTGTCTTCGTTATGTATTGTTTTTCATAATTAATAGAGAACGATTTTTATGGATTGATCTAGTGATTCCAAATAGGTGTGTCAATTGGACCGAATTTGGTCCAATCTGATCCAATATGAGTAGGATGCAAACAGATCAGATTATATTCGAATCAGGGTATATCCAAATCCGATCTGATAGCATATATCCGAGATTTGATCCCATCCAAAGATCTAATCGAATCTCACAAATGGTGATTTGAATCCGAATATGATGTGATCCTATTCAAATTATGAAAAACATAATAAATTAATAGAAAAAAGCATAAAAATTTATACAAAGAAAAACAAGAAAATATAAGTATTTTTTTTCAACTATTTTCATCATATATATGAATATATACATGTATTTTTATAAAAATTTACAAAAAATACAATACAAATATATTTATTGATAAATATGTTAATAAATATATTAATATATGCATGCCCTTTTATAAGTAAATATGTTTATAAACATATACATAGGTCAGATTGGATTGGATAGGATGATCTGAAATCGATTCGAAAATTTGATAGAGGGTTATCTGAATCTGACAAAAGTAGGATCGAAAAATATGATCAGATTCAGATCAGTTTGGGTCATGACTTGATCCATTTGCACCCCTAAATATGAGTCTGTTATAGATGGACCAGGTCCAATCTAATTCAATGAATACTTTTGACCATTTTGGACCAATCAAATTTAATTTCTAGACCGTCCAATGTGTTCAAATTGGTTTTAATTTATATTGGTTCCAACCCAAACCTGGTCCATTAACACTTGCATTCTTATATTCTATTAATGGACTGAATATTGATTGGTTCAATTGATCCAATCCAATATAAATCCATTATGGATGAACCAGGTCCAATCCAATCCAATAAATACTTTGGACCATTAAGTCTAGACTGGTCCAATTTAATGTATTGGTCCATCCAATTCATCCAAATTAATTTTGATTTGGACGGGTCCAACCCAAAACCGGTCCACTGACAACCATAGTTCCAAGAAATCAATTTGAACCACACCTCATTCCATTTTATGGATTAATTCTTGGAAACATAGTTTCTTTTATTTTAGCCCATGGTTCCAAGAAAAACTAAGTGGACTTTATTTGATTTATTTCTGTAGTTTTTTTTAATATTTTCTGGATTTTTTTTAATGTTTCATACTTTAATTCAATTTGGATCGGATTGGATCCCATCCGGTGCACTTGCATTTCAGTTGATGAATTGGTTTGTATGGATTTGGACCGGAAAGGGTCCAGTACATTTATAAATGGACCCATATTGGACTGGATTGGATTGAACCAAATTAAATCCAGTYCAATTGACACCGCTATCAGAGTTATTGACACAACTTAGAACTGAACAGCTTATGTGATAGAACATAAGAATTTCCCTGGTGAGAGCCACATAATATAAAAAGGATTAACTGTATAATATATATTAAGGCAATGTAGTTGATCTCTAGCAATGAAGGAAGAATAAAATGATGAATAAAGACAGCAGCAACAATGTAATAACCCTGGTTTCTGCTGCACCTGTTGCAGACAAGATTTATTTGATCATATAATACTAACACATCATTTTACAGGAATCTGTTTTCCTAGAATAACAACATTGAAGAGCAGGGTCCATTTAATTCAATCAAGTAAATAATTATGAAGAAGGCTGCAAGGAGCTGATGCAGATGTAACAACTATACACCAATAACCTGCAACACTCTGTACAGAATTCCTATATGTGAGTGCATGTGATCCTTGTCAGCAAAATAGGTGGCCCCCACATTCTGGATTCCTGGGCTCTAAGTCTATTGCCAAGGACCTAAGCTTTAGTTTGGATTGGACCCGCCTATGGACTATGGTTGGTTTTGCAAATTAAGGTACTCTCTCTCTCTCTCTCTCATCACGTGACAACTGCCATTGAATATTTGAATTCCAAGAAGCAAGGAAAAACTAGTGGGGAAGGTGAAAACGGCAAAAGGGGAATTATGAAAGGTTATTTAATTAAGGGGAGGACTGAGGATATCACTTTTTATTGAGCCATGAACATTCATGCATCACAACCAAATGGATGTGGGTCCTGCTCCAGCAAGCAAACCGCGTGGACCACATGACTCTCATAATTCACTGCTCTTTGCTTTCCAAAAGATTAAAAAGAAGGGTCATCAAGTACAAGCCGGTGAACTGTGAAGAACAAAGCTAGCCTAGCTAGTGCCTAGCTAGGATTGTAGAGAGAGAGATGTTAAATAGCTTCAATACAGAACATAGTGGAGCCCAATTTGCCAAAACAACAATCTGATAAACTACCATCACTAACTGTAAATAGCGAAGCAACAGGAACGATTGATACGTTAATATAATGGACCCCAGCATTTGCAATATAGCATCACAGCCAGGAACTCAGAATTGCTCTTATCATGTAAGGAATCCTACTTCCAATTCTCCTATATATCCCTAGAGCTAGAAAGAGAAAAAACTTGAGCCAGAGAACCAAAGCCACACCATCAGATGTTGATGATCTGACTAGTAATCACGTACAGGGCCTCATTACCATGCATCAATGACCCACATCCACATGGCTACCCTTTTGGCCGTTAGATCTACATTACATGCATATTCTGATTCCGGACAGTGGACCAGTTAAGACTGCTATAGATGCCAAAAGATGTTAGATCGTATCTTCGATCTTGATCTCACACCAGATCTTCGTGGGTCCAATCATGCTATTGCCCCTAACAATACCCAATGTTAAATCAAGATCAAACAATATATCATGTCAGTCTGAAATACACGCTCTCATCCAGAGCTGAGCAGAGTGCCAAACAGTGGAATCCCTCCACAGACACACAGACACACAAAAACCAAATTAAGCCGACGTGGATGGGAACCATCCATGTTCCATTAATCCATTTTCAACATTTAAAGGTTGGATAATAAAACTAAAACAGATGCTCTCTCTCTCTCTCTGAAGTCTGAGCCATGTGTTTTACTTTAGGGATGTGACTATGTGAGGTGTATCTATGAATCTATCCTGGATAGGATATGTTGGCTTGAGTTGTTGCCGGCAGCCCCTCATCTCCTCCCAAACTCCGGCCCCCACCGGATAAAATCATAATACACTTCATGGTTTTTGTGGGGTGGGGACTCGGAACAGATAAGCTGACTGCAACTACTGACCCCACTGACTCACACGACGACTGTGCCCATTTACGCAACTATCCTAACTCATCCATCCCCTCCTCCGCCTTCCCCTATTAAAACCCCCTCTTCGATCCCATTATAAGGAAAAAAAGAAGGAGAAAACACAAAACAAATGAGTAAAAATACAGGAAAAGTAGAGAGAAAGTGTGTGAGTGGAGAGAGAGAGAGAGATAGACAGAGAGAAAACTCATACCAAGTCTAGTCTTTTCTTTTCTCTCTTGCTTGCTTAGAAGAACGACCACTTCAAAGTCTCAGTCGGGCAGTAAAATGGCCATGGAATTAGAGGATGACGTGTTCTTTGCCGACCTGAGCCAACGGATTGCACTTCTTATCATGGACGATGATGAAGATCCTGTCGCACGTTGTCCCTCTGTTTCTCCCCAGGTTAACTCTCAATTCCATCTCCATCACATAAGAAAATTTTGTTGCCCTATATGCACTTGTTCCTCTTAGTTAAGGCTCCCCATTTATGCCATGCCTACAGTTCATTGAATCAATATTATCTTCCACTACTGCACCAACCCCAGAACCATTCAAGAGCCATGTTGCCTGAGAAAGAGTTTGATTCATTTCAGTATTGAGCCTCACACTCACGGAACTGAGACATATTAATCTCAGTGCTTGAGACTGGAAGCCCCCATGATGCATTTCATCTCCTAGATACAGAGCTCACACCAGAAATTGAAGTATCAGACAGACAACAGAAATCTGGGTATCATAGCTCGGACAGGCTCGTTGAGTACTGTCGATACCAGAGCCTCCTTCACTTCTTATATTGCAAGCATCTTTGTTTGAAATAACTACCAAATGCATTGTCTAAGTGGTTCTATCTATGAGCTCATGTGTGGCTTATTTTATTGATATCTCATCAGGCTTTCTCCCAGGCTTACTACCCTGTTGCACCACTGCCAGTGTTGTACGAGCAAAATTGCAGAAGGGAAAGCAAGGGGACTGGGGTTTTTATTCCTCGCTCATCTCTGCCAAGAAGGAAGAACAGACAAGGAAGGGTTACTTCAATCAACACCAAACCCTGCAGACAGCCTGACAAATCAAGAGCAGCCTCTCAAGTAACCTATAGCAATGACCCATCTTGTAATTGTTACAGCTCCAAAAAGTGTTAGAAAGGAGAAGCACTGAGGAGCAAGGAGAGGTGTATAATTCAATAATGTCTACTAATTACAGTTTCTGTCATCTGTTAGGCTGAGTTTTTCGATTGTGTTCATGTACATGGAAAGTTAATTTGGTATATCAATTCCTTCTGGGTTGGAGAAGAGGATGCTACTAAGGGTTGTGCCTCTTCTCTTATAAAAATGTATGGTTATTATTGAGCTTGATAATTAAAAAATGATAAGTTTGTCTTGTTTGTTTGTTCATTAAATTTTACCTATCTTTTCAAGCTCTGCATTTACTAGCTACATTTCTGATGACAAAAAGATATATGAGAAGCTCAGTTGAAATTAATGGATACAAATTTATATAGAGAAATATGGAATTAATGTTTCCACTAAGGATGGTTGTAATCTATTCTTTCACTTAGTTAAAAAACAGTTAAGAGTGTCTCAGTTATTTACTATTTGGTCAGTAGGCAAAATTAAGTTGTTTCCCTTTTTTCCTGTGGACTCTGTCAAGTTCGACATCAGCATTCAATGTGCATCAATCCTTTGATGTTCCTTCCATGTGCCCAGTCCACCACTTGGGCAGATAAAACTTGGGAGTCAGGGACATAAGCTTTCAGTATTGAGTCCAGGGGGTTGCAATTGTCCTTGACAGGCTGGCCTTGGACAGAGATTGGGCCAGTTGTAGAGAACCATCAGTTTGATCCATGACGAAATTGAACTTAACTGATGGCTCTTATTGTTATCTAACTAGGGCTATTCAGAGGATCCTCTTAAATATTTAGAAGCTTTACTTGAAAACAAATGGCAGATTTAAGCCAGACTTGAAAGAAAAGAAGAGAAAATATATATATATATATTAAATGAATCTCAGTACTATTTACTTCTTCTAAATGGGCCATGGTTTCATTTGTTGTTTCAAATTTCTAACTCACTCCCAACTCATAAAAACATTCAAATTGAATCATTGGTAGCTTTCTGTCTAATCATCTTTGTTGAAGGCAACGGCCTTTACTTGTCTCCTTGGAAATTCCTAACTAAATGCTTTAGTTGGAATATATCCAACAAAGCATGGTTTCTTAATTCATTTGTATTTTCTTTTTTTTTTTTTTCTTTTCTTACATTATATATATATATATATTGTTTTTGTGGTGGAGATTTGGAGATGTGGAACTTTTGGATGGTCTCAAACCTGGATATTTCTAAGAATAATTAGTGATTAAAATGCTTAAAACATGAAGGCTCAACTTTCACTCGGAAGTTCATTATCAAGTAGAGTTTACTCAGTGACAGCAATTAAAATTTTTAGGCAAAATCTATGGAGTCAGGATCTGTTCCTCACACCAACTTCACAGCATGTATCAGCCGCACATATGGGAGATGTTCCCAATAACGGTGGGATGTGGCTGTGAGGAGCACTCTTTTGCATGTGCAGCAAAAGTACACATTGTTAAACATGAAAGTGCATTTTGTGAAATGTGAACCAATGAAAAAATAAGCTCACTTGAGATATGCATTTAAAAGACAGCGAATATTAGTGAATGCACCATGGTTGAACTCAAATTTTTATCATGCTTATAAATTCTTTTCAGACAAACCTCATTTGAGAATGATTGTCAAAAGTGTCCTTAGTACTATCTCAATTATAAAAAAAGGGAAAATTATGTAAATGGGACCAAAAAATAAGTAAAATATAACGAAAGGTGAAACAAAAAAAAAAATGGAATTTGTGTTGATTTCCTTAGAGAGCTGGCGGGGTAATAATTAAGCTGGGGTTTAAAATCTAGTACTTTGGCGATGCGCCCTACGGACGCCCCACATACATCTCAGAATGCATTGAGAACATCTCCCATTCAATACACGGTTGGGATATGCTGTGGGGCAACAAGAGGATGTACCTGATATCAAACAACTGGACTGAATTATTTTTGCAATAGGAAAAGTGGATCTTGTGGGGGTTCTCTTCACTTGGGCTAGAGGTTGTCCTAATAAAGCGAGCACCGACTGACACAACTGGACCCAGTTGAACAAAGCCAAAGTAAAAGCTTTAATACGTCCATTCATATTAAAAGGGAAACATCAGATCGTCTACATTGATTCATTTCATGCATCCAATTCAAATTGCACTTCAAAATACATTTGATTAGAGAAAAAACAGTGGATGGATCATGGACTATGGACAAAAGTCTAAGTAAGATGAAATAGAAAGCAGAATGAGAGAGAGAGAGATTGACAAATCACCGAATTTCAAATTGGAATCTTTTAATTTCCCACATCTGCTTTCTGCTTTCAGCGGCTACTTGAGCTGTTATCAGAGTGGGGAGGAAAAACATAAAGGATGGTACTTTGGTATCTGTATTTTTATGAAGGTGGCTTGGAACTTTTTGAAGGGTTCTCACTTTTTCCAGGCACCGGCTGAGAGCATAGATTCTCATCAATTGTCTACAGAACTTGACAACTAGTGCTGAACTATGAGGCCAGCCAGGATTGAGTCAATCTCTAACCTTCAATTTGCACACAGAATCACAGAACCCAGTTTGCTTTTGCGCTGAAACAGATCTTGGACGGAATAGAGCAAACGTCCAACTCTTCTCGCCCTAATTTGACAGAATGACAGTAGGCCTTTTGGGCGTACCTGCCATTCTATGTCAGCATTTATCAATAACTTGATTTTATTTATTTATTACGAGGACGAGGATTTCTTACTGCACTCGTGAACCAATCACGGTGGGACCCATCTATGATCTATGTACCAATGGATCAGTTCTAATCTCTAACAATGACTTATTCATGTCGTCCAAATTATAGTAGTGGACCAATCAATACCCGCCATGTCATTCAAGTCCTCGTGAGGACCGAGGAGGAAGAAAACCGACACAACTGACAGCACCCCACGTGATGCCCCTATTACAACTTGATCTGTCCACTATTCCAACGAATTATTGGATACTTGCATGATCATGGACTTATATATATATATATATATACAAGTGGCAATTTTAACTAATAATAATAATAATAACTGTGCATGTGTGTGATAATTTCAAATAGTAGTAATAGTAGTTTTGATGTTTGTATCCAAATCCATGTAACAAAGATAAATGATGGAAGCATGATGCTTTGGTGGATTCATTGACTTTCAATCTAGAGACTTTGGTTTTGAATCTTCTTACTTGTAATTTATATCAAATGTTTTCAACTTGCAATTGAATTGAGCAAATAGTTAGATTGATTTATCTGCCACCCAAAAATAATTTAGCATATTTCACCTCAAATAACTTTCTTGCAAAAAAGACATGGACATACCAAAGTGATGATCGATTTTTCACAAATTAAAGGGACAAGAAGGGCAAATGGCAGATTTAAGCATTAATAATTTAATAATGGATGTGGCATTAAATAGAATGGACCTGCAAAACAGGATCTATGTAGCTGACCTCATATAGTTGGGATAAAGCATGGATGATGATTATAATGTACTTATGACAGCATGGATTTTTAAAAATATAGGTTTTATACTATTAAAATTATCGTTCATGGATTTAATTAGTGGTATTTAATGATGAAAAACACATATACCTTGAATATATGATTCAATAAAAGGTAATCGAGTTGATACCTTAATTACAAGACTTAATGAGTGGGTATAGAATGGATTGAATAATAGCATAACCAACTGAGTTGGTATGTTAGCTGGTTCCAACGGTGGAGCCAGGGGGGACCCAAGCGAGCCATGGCCCCCCTATGGTTCAGAAATCCCTACTTGTGAGTTGTGATTGTAAATTCCGCCCCCCCTCCTACTCCCCACCCCAATAGTTGCCCCTTATGGCCATCCATATTTATTTATTCCCCCCACCCCCAATCCATTTTAGGTCCCCCCTCGAAAAATTCCTGGCTCTGTCCCTGGCTGGTTCACTCCAGCCTTGACACGGAATCGAATCCTGCAACCATTGATTTGAGGAAAGGGGGGTTATTAGTGGTGTGTGGCACCAAATACCCAAAAATTAAAATTAATAATAGCATTCAAATTACAATTTCTACCTTCATAATAGAGAAGGACCAATATAAAAAATAACTATTTTAGTTAAAAAAATTCAAGAAGCTTTGGGAAGCTATTCCCACTTTTTTTATAGTGGAAATAGTCAAATGCTACCCCTAGTAGTTTGGCTTTGAGTTAAGCTTCAACCCATCCATATTACGCAAGTTACATGGCCTGATCATTCCATATATATATATATATATATATATATATATATATATATATATATATAGATAGATAGATAGATAGATAGATGGATAGATAGATCAGGTCGGGAAATATGTTTCAAGCTAAGAACGCAAGCCAAGCCATGATCATCCCTAGACTTATTGCCACTTGTCAATATATCTAATTTTAGTATGTACTAGCAGGGACCCGTGTGATTCACGGACTTTGTTAAGCGAAAGTTAAATAATAGAAATACATAAGAGTAGGCAAATGTTTTATATTTTATATATGATTTTTAATATTTTTTGAAATAGAAAAATAACAATAATTAATTTCATCTAGGGATGTTCATCAAATTGATGAAACTGACCAAACTGACACCCAACTCGCCCCGAGGTGGTCACTTTCTAGTATTTCCGGTCGGCTTCAATTCAAAATTTCCCAATCCTACCAAGTCAGGTTAGTTTTTGTTTGGCCATTTGTAAAACAACCTAATTATAAATATATATTAATATTTTATATTTCAAATATAATCTTTTAATACATAAAAGTGGAAAAATTCCCTTATTTCTTAGTCTAAAATATTTTATATTGTAAACTTAAATTTTTAAATTTATTCTTTTAATAATATCATTGCATTTTCTAAATGTAATTTAATTTTTTAAGTTTAAATCTTTTGAACCAACCAACCAAACTAAAAACCAGCCCAAACCGATACCATTGTTTTCAACCTTCCATTGACCCAACCTATTGAACCATTTAAATCGTCACTTAACTATGATTCCAGGTCTAGTTCTACTGAAACCCGCCCTTCATCCAAAATCGCTAACTTGGTAAAAAACCACCCGACTTGAAGGGTTCAACTGTTGACCCATTCGACCCGACCATTGGGTTACAGGTTGCATACTTAATGCATGTGCAAACTTTTAGAGGCCATAACTTTTGCACTCCAAAGTCCGATTGAGGTGATCTTATTTATTTATTTATTTTTTCATTTTGGTTAAGTTTTCAAGATCTATGCGTCCTAAGGTGTTGTGGGTG